TTGGCAAAGCAGCTGGGGTTGATGGAATTCCGTCTGAAGTCTGGAAACGTGGGGGCCAAGCACTCCATGCTAAATTTCACAAGTTTGTGGTGCGCTGTTGGGAACTAGGTGAACTACCATCAGACCTTTGTGATGCAATCATCACTTTGTATAAGAAGGAATTAAATCAGATGGCTCAAATTACCATGGTATTACTCTGCTCTCCATTGCTGGCAAGATCCTGGCAAGAATACTTTTGAACAGATTAATACCCGCCACAGCAGAAGGAATTCTACCTCAAAGCCAATGTGGTTTCAGAGCCAACAGGAGTACCACAGACATGTTATTTGTTCTCAGACAACTGCAAGAGAAGTGTAGGGAACAGAACAAAGGTCTCTATGTAACCTTTGTCGACCTTACCAAGGCTTTCGATACTGTGAGCAGAAAAGGTCTATGGCACATTTTGGAACGTTTAGGATGTCCCCCCAAGTTCCTTAAAATGATCAACTCACTCCACGAGGATCAGCACGGCCAAGTCAGATATGGCAATGCACTTTCTGAGCCCTTTCTGATAACTAATGGTGTGAAACAAGGTTGCATTCTCGCACCAACTCTATTCACAATCTTTTTCAGCATGATGCTCCAAAGGGCCATGGTAGACCTCGATGATCAGGACGGTATCTACATTCGATATCGTACTGATGGAAGCCTATTCAACCTAAGGCGACTGAAGGCCCACACCAAGACCTTAAACTATCTTGTCTGGGAGCTGCTTTATGCTGATGACTCCGCCCTTGTGGCCCACACAGAAATAGCTCTGCAGCGTTTAACATCCTGCTTTGCAGATGCTGCTGAGCTCTTTGGGCTGGAAGTCAGCTTAAAGAAGACCGAAGTTCTCTATCAACCTGCACCTCAGGAAGTCTTCCATCATCCACATATCACCATTGGCCAATCAGAGCTCAAATCAGTTCAGCAGTTTAATTACCTAGGTAGCCTCATCTCCTCAGATGGTAAGATTGCCAGAGAGATAGACAACAGGTTAGCAAAGGCATATAGTGCCTTTGGAAAGCTTCATAAAAGAGTTTGGCGAAATAAACACTTGAAGAAAAGTACAAAGATCAGTGTTTACAGAGCCATTGTGCTGTCTACTCTTCTATATGGGTCCGAATCGTGGGTCATCTACCGCCACCACCTGCGACTCCTAGAACACTTCCATCAACGCTGTCTCCACACAATCCTAAACATCCACTGTGACCAATACGTCTGTTCTAGAACAAGCAGTAGTTACAAGTATTGAGGTCATGTTGCTGAGAACACAGCTGCGTTGGGCAGGACACGTCTCAAGGATGAAGGACTAAGATCATGCTTTATGGTGAACTTGCCACTGGTTACCGGAAGAGAGAAGCCCCAAAGAGAAGATACAAGGACTCCCTGAAACAATATCTCAGCCTTGGCCATATTGATCAACATAACTGGTCTACTCTGGCCTCCAATTGGGAGGTCTGGAGACACACTATCTTTAATGCTGTTGATGCTTTTGAGAAAGCATGCAGGATCACTCTTGAGGAGAAAACACAATGCAGAAAGAATCGTACCCTGCAGAATATATCTCCTAAGGAGTCTTTCTGTTGTGCCTTTTGCAACCGGACGTGTCTATCTCGTATTGGCCTTTATAGCCACCAATGCGCTTGTAACAAACGTGGGAAGAACCCTTCTCAAATCTTCGTTCGCAAAGCCTAGCCATGAATGAATGGATGTGGTGCTTAAGGACATGGTTTAGTAGCAGACTTGGTAGTGTTAAGCTAATGGTTGAACTTGATGATCTTAAGGCTCTTTTCCAACCTGAATGATTTTATGGTTCTATAAGCAGAGATGATAGGCATCTTGAAAAGTAGTATTCATTTCCCCAATTCCATGGATAAGACCTTACACAACAATCTGTGTTGAAAAGTCAGTATGTCACTACACTCCTGAAATATCTCCTGGAATAACAACATTTTATAAAAGGCCTGGGTAAATTAAAAGCATGCATGTGCAGAGGAGTTATCCAGTTCTAAATCCCTATTAACCTTTTTCAGCAAAATCGTAAGTAATGGGGCAAAAAATGTATTTGCATTAGCAATACAGGTATTCATACCCTTCCTCCTCCTAATTTCAAGAAACACACACACTTTATTCTTAGTATTTGTCCTAGTTTCAGCCAGGATCTTAATGTTATTCAATACCACCTCACGTCATTGCCAGGGGAGGGGGAAAGGGACCCTCTCTGTCTTCCAAGAAGGGTGTGGGTTTCCCCTTAGTCTCCTCTTCTCCAGCCGAACAGACCAAGTGCCCTCAGCCGCTCCTCATACAACTTCCTCTCAAGGCCCTTCACCATCTTTGTTGCCCTCCTTTGGATGCGCTCTAAAAACTTAATATCTTTGTTATATTGTGGTGTCCCAAACTGCCACAATATTCAAAGTGAGGTTGCACCAGCGCAGAGTAGAGCAGGACAATCACCTCCCTCTACTGGTTGGTGATGCTGTGCCTGATGCCCCCCAGGACACGGTTGGTCCTCCTGGATGCCAGGGCACTGATGACTCATATTCAACTTGCCATCGACCAGGACCCCCAGGTCCCTTTCTGTGGCACTGTTTTCCAGCATCTCATTCCCCAGTCTGTACATACATCCAGGGTTTCCTCATCCCAGGTGCAGAATCTGTCACTTTCTCTTGTTGAACTTCATATAGTTGGTGATTGCCCAGTTCTCTAATTTGTTGAGGTCTCTCTGCAGGGCCTCCCTGCCTTCAAGAGAGTCAACAGCTCCTCCCAGTTTTGTGTCATCTGCAAACTTGCTCAGTATCCCTTCCAGTCCTGTGTCCAAGCCATTTGTGAAGATGTTGAAGAGCACAGGGTCTAAGATGGAGCCCTGTGGAACCCCACTAGTGACGGGTTGCCAGTCCGATGTCACCCCATTCACTATTACCCTTTGTGCTTTTCTCATGAGCTGGCACAGTGCTGTGGTTTGGATTCAGGATGACAATAATGCCAATTGCTGCTCAGGGACAGACTGAACATCGATCAGTGGGTGGTGAGTAACTGTATTGTGAATTGTTTATTTCTCCGTGGTCTTCTTTCTCTCTCTCTCTCCCTCATTTTAATTACAATTATTATTATTAGCATTAGCATTAGTAGTATTATTATATTTTGTTTCTATGATTAAAGTGTTTTTATCTCAAGTCACGAGGTTTATTTTTTTTTCTTCAATTCTCCTCACTATTAGGGGTGGAGGGGATGGTGTGTGTGTGTGAGCAGCTACATGGTACTTAGTTGCTGGCTGGGGTTAAACCAGGACAACCCATTGTTTATTAAGCTGAACTACAAATAGGTGGAAATTGCATTTTTAGTTATCATCACTAATGGCAGCACAAGTTCTCAACTGCCTTCTGGCTCTGTATATGCTTGGGACAGTATGTTCACGCAGTATCTGCACCCCACTTCAAACCAGTCTGTTTACAGCTAGTGATACCTGTATTAGAGTTGAATATATTCCGTTTTGTTTCCTAGCCCTTTCCTGAAAAAAAAAATTAAAAGTAGGTCTTTATAGAACATTTGGACAAAGATCAACCCATTCCTACTTACATAAAGCTTCTGGTGCAATTACTGAACATTTGAAAATGTTTGGACTTATCTCTCAAAAAACAGAATTTAAGATCTCATACCTTAGATATGAAGATCAATAAATCTATCCCAAAATCTAAGACACAGTCACTAATTCATAATAAAATGTTTGAAATTATCTGTGGAACTGTATACTTCATTGAGGAGACTGTGACAGCATATCTGGACTGTTTTCTAATTGTTAACTACCTGCATTTGGAAGAAACTGGAATGTTGGAGTGCTCTTCCCCCTTGTACAGTCTCTTTTTATGAGGGAAAAATAACTGGGAGGTGCTGGAGAGAGTCAGTACCCATTGACACAAAATCTCAATAGAAACAACCAAATGAAGTTCCACTGTCTAAACTGCTTTTAACTGGCAGTCATCTAACAGGAGCCTTGAAGTCTAATAACACAGGTATGTGTCCTTGCAACATATGAACTTCTATTTCCTTGCTCAGACTAGGCATAAAACACCATTGAAGAAAGGATATCAGTTATCACATTCAGTAGGGAGTCTTACCCTCTTCTCTCAATGAATCATTACTTAAACCCTAACTATATTACTTTCAGACACCTTTCTTTACCTATAAGAATCATCATATCTTTGGTAATCTCAAAGAAATATCCTTGATTTCTTTCTTTTCCTCTCCCTAAATACAAGATATTTAAAGCTAGTGTCTACCTTATTTGCTCTTGTATTCACTCTAGAACATACTCTGGCTTGTCCAGGTGACAGAGGAATAGCTCTCCCTGAAGTACTGAAAGTTCTTTCCTAGTTAGATTTCAACTTAATTAGTCATTTCCCTGACATTAATTCTTGTCTACTATGTTACACCTGATTGATTTCACTTTTCTTAAAGGTTCAAGAGCTTCCTTTCCGAAGTCTGCATCTTATTTCCACTCATCTTCTTTGATTCAGTACAAATCTCAATGCCTATTTCTGAACCATCCCCTTGTTCCAGGAGCTATAGCTTTTACTCAGTTCCACCACAGTAACTTCAATCATTATCCAAACAGTATCTATCACTGGAAGGTTAACTTGCTTATTACTGGTAGAAAGGCACATTTATGTTTGTGAAAATAATGCCTTCACCACTGATTTAGGATGTCCATTGACCTAGACAATAATGTTATATTTGGTTTACACATTTAAAGACTTTACCCTCTTCCATATGAGAGAAACATGTTTGAATGACAATTTCTTAAGCACAAATACAAGGTATGAATTCCATAGTAAATTCAAAAGCTATGTGAGTAGAAGTTTCATTTATCTAAACAGAAAAAATAAAAACCTTTCTGCATATATGCTACCTTAAAAATGAATAACAAAATAAATGTCTAGTAGTAAATAACAATGGAACATAAGTTGAATTGAACTTACATCAGTAGCTGCTGTCAGGATTTTAGAAAGGGTCACTCTTGCTAACCCATCTCTGCTGTAATCCAAACTAGAAACAGTCAGTTTTAACAAGTGATCCTGGTTCTTCAAAGAACAAAGATTAAGAAGACTGGGGGAGGGGGAATAAAATTAGTATTTGAACACACTCAAACCCACTTATTTATTCAATTAATAATTTAAACTTAAGTACTCTGAATTAGATTTTCAGTTCTATAAACGCAGAAGAATACAAAATAAAGTCTCATATGAAATGGAGTGTCTTTAAACTGTTACAGCTGTTTTAGTCAAAGGGAGACCAAATAATGCACTAAACTACAAGAGAAATAAAAAACTCAAGCCAATATTTTTTATAATTGCTATGTAACAGTTTTTTCAGTGTACTTGTATTGGTGATTAAGTACAAAAATAAATTTTCATGAAGCTCTGAACAATTTCACATTCTAAACGTTCTGTGTATACAGATTGCCATAAGGTTAGTCCTAGATTTTATTTATTGTAAATGAAGTTTTCTGTACCCAGTAAAAACCTTGCATTCTAATAAGTAAAGAAAACAATTCAATTAAAAAAAACCCAACAGAGTATACCAAAAGACCTGAATTTTCTCTTAAAATAACTGTATTTGAAATAAACTGGCCATTGGCCAAATTACTCCCAGTAGAAGGTAAGTTTATTTGTACCCAAACAAAATTTTGAATTCTAGAGCTTCACTCACATATATTGGAGTGAAGCTTAGGTACAACAGGTATCATCACATTTTGCACACAGTATTATACCTACCAATTTGTCGGTTGTGCTTGTTTTGGTTTTTTAAAATCATTTCAATACAGTATGACCCTTTCTGATACTGATTTCTATGAGATAGGCATGGACAGGAATAAGTAAGCTATTTTGTAACATGATCACTCATATCTGTTCAGTAAGACAGACAGACCTCTTAAAAAACCAATCCAAACCCCCACAAATGAGGAGCTTTACTTGAAAAAAAATCAAAATAATTTTAAAGTTTTCAGTTTTATAGACAGTGATCCACATGTACAGTTTACAGGTTTGCAATTATACCTGTAAGCACAATTAAAACAAAATAAAAACACTCACCACTGAAACAGATTACATTTTTCAAGCATTTTCACTCCATGAGGGTGACAAGAGAGAGTACCAAAAAACAGAAAGTAGTGCTGGCTAAGGGTATTTAGTAACCCATTATTTTGAAGACTACACTCATTTCATTCTCGATGAAGAATTGAGCCAATTTACAATATCTTTAACCAATTCCTCCAGGTAACCTTGTCCATCCTAACAAAACAAAGAGTAATAGCATTTACTAGTAACAGAACTGTGTCTCTCTACTGAAATCCATTGTTTAAAATTTCTTAAAATGTACAAACACAATACAGATACAAAATAGAAATGCTGTTTGGCAAACACAATTGAGACTAAATGAAAAGGTTAAAGGCAAATAAAAGGAGTTTAGTTTGGAGACATCTTAGGACAATTCCATTCTTTCCAAGAAAAGGCTTGTTCAATGACATTTTCCTCTGTCCCAAGGCATAAAAGTCTGTAGTACACAAGAAGTAGGCAGAAAAACAAAGGATATACATAGAACAATCCCCCCTCCAAAAAAACCCCCCATAAAGTCCATCTCAACACAAACAAAAAAAAAGCACATCCAAACCTTAAGTTGTATTTAATAAAGTTGTATTTAATAAAACCCCTACTTAAACACAGTCGTCTCCCTAGTGTCTTATCGGATCATTACACTGATCATTTTAGGTTTGACACCCAAAGTCTACAGAAACCTTGTCATAGGTTTACTTGTTCTAAAAGAAACGAGCAGGAATTTTTCTTTCCCCTGCCCCACTGTAAAAGAAAGATGTTGAACGGGGGCAGGCTCTGTGGGGGAGGTGGGGAGTTTTTTGCTTTTCTCCTCGGGAAACGGCAAGGCACTCCCCTTTTGCTTTAACTCAGGCAAGGTGTGTTGGAAAAGCTCCGAGGTTGTTTTGTTCTCGGCCTAGTCATCTGGCTGTTTCCTGGCTCCAGTCTGCCTTTGTTTCCTGCTCCCTGTTCTGCCCCCAGCCCGGACCTGCTCAGACTTCATCGGAGAGGTTTGACCCATCTGCAGAGGAACTTTCTGGGGAGGAGGTCACCCTTTTCCCTCCTCCACTCCTGTGTTTGGCAGCAGTTTGTGCTCATCGACGAAGGGAGGGAAATCCTGGCCACAGTCAGCTGCAGACAGCATGAGTTTTGTGGGAAGAACTCGCCTTCTTTCCCCTTTTTCCCCTTCCCCTTCTTGGTGGGGAGGGAAATCTCCATTGTCAGTTTCTCCTGCACACTGGGCCCCCATGTGGCAACTGCCAGAGCCCAACAGCGCCCCTTGCTGACCAACACCAAGCAACTGCAGGCTTTGCTCCTCCAGTGATCCAACAGCGCCCCCTGCTGACCGTGGTTAGAATTGCGTCAAAAAGCAGAAAAGTATTGAACTGTTTCCCTTTTGGAGGGGGATTTTTTTTGGGTACAGGATTATTGTTTTGGTTGGTTTTGTGTTCTTTTGTTGTTCTGCCAATACACATATATCCTTTAATAAAGGGTTGTTATTTTTTCCTTTTTCCATACTTCCTCAATTAGAGCCTCTTAATTTCGAATTTACAATTGCTTAGAGGGAGGAGTTTGGTCTTCCTCATAACTCATCCTCCTTAGCAAAACACTTCAGTCTCATTAAACTGAGACAAACCTTTACTAAAATTAAGGGTTTTTTCCTCTAAGTGGCATATAGCAGCATTACTCATTCTATCTTCAGTCTTGTAGCTGAAAATTTCTTACCTCTTCTGATTCAAGAAGAAATTCAGTAAATTGACAACCCACCACAGTGAGCTGCTTAGCTTTGGCATAGTCCAGATCCAGGTTGGCATACAGTTTACTGCTAGGCTTGTAAAAATATAGCAATCTCCTTACAAACCTATGGAAAGTAAAAAGAATTTGTAAGACAAGGACAGTCACACATTTCAAAATGATGCTGGTATAAAAGATATTTTATCACTAAATTAGCTTATTGACAATAAATTTTCAAGGTATTAAGAGAGTAGCAGGTGTCAGTAATGAGTCTATCTAGACACAATTTCAGAGATGCAGTTGTACTATTTGTTATAAAGGGTTTCCTATGCCCTAGCATAGGATTATAATAACACTTAAAGTAAACAAAGGAACTCAAAATGCTCTATGCTCTATACTCTATGCTCTTAGAAGCCCTATCTTCCTTCTCATTTTCATGCTTATAATTTATTCTGTTGTAATTTATCCTGTGGTGAGTTTCAAAGACTATACTATCTAGACTTACAAAGAGCTAAAAAAGAGTCTGTAGTAATACTTATGTGACACGACTTTTCTAATGTTACTTTAAAAAAAAATATGTTCTGCCAGAAGAAGGCAATATTTATATAGAAACAGTATTCATTCACCTCACTTTAGCATTTCTGAAGCACAACACAGTGATTGCAAATGCAGACTCATTCAGACTTTCTGAAATCATGGTGAGCAATCAAGTTTGAACTTTGCACTGCAGGAATTAATCTACAGCAAAGAGCTTCTCCTGTCAACTCTTAGTAAACCATAAACACATTTGTGCTTTAAAAGAATACAGCATGCTCTGTCTGAAAGTAGATATATAAAGCATTAAGAAAGCATAAGTAAAGTACTACCTTTAGTTAAAAAAAATGAGAGTAGGCCACTATCCCAACTCTAAACACAGGACCAATTTATAAAGGAAATCTTTTAAATTTTGTCAAATGAAGTGTATTTTATTCTGGGTTATTAGCAATAAATATATTAGCTATATTAGCAAACAATTTATTTAGAATCATAGAATCATTAAGGTTGGAAAAGACCTCCAAGATCATCAAGTCCAACCTTTGACTGAATACCACCATGCCCACTAAATCATATCATGAAGTGCCATGTTGTTTTTTGAACACTTCAAGGGATGGTGACTCCACCATTGCCCTGGGCAGCCTGTTCCAATGCTTAACTTCTCTTTCAGTGAAGAAACTTTTTCTAATATCCAACCTGAACCTCCCTTGGCACAATTTGAGGCCGTTTCCCCTTGTTCTGTCCCTTGTTGTCTGGGAGAAAAGGTCACCCCCCACCTCGCCACAACCTCCTTTCAGGTAGTTGCAGAGAGAGCATGTATATGTGCACATGTACACATATACATGTGTATACATGGGTATATATACACTTAAGAATGTATATATGTGTGTATATACACGTACATGTGTATACACACACTGTACTAACTGTATCTCCATGAAATGAATGGATATATATAAAAAAATTCTTGCATTTCACTTTAACAACCATAATATCATCACAAAAACACTAACAGAAAAGAAATCAAGTTATGGAAGGACAAATAAATTTACTTTACACTTCAAAACTAAAATGGCTAAAAATTTTTTATGATCAGCAGTGAAACTGGAGATATTTGGGTGTTAATTAGTTATAATTAAACAAGAACAACAGCATTTTAAAGCCATTAAAGGATCTAACCCACAATCCTATAGAAAAGATCAACCAACTGTAGAAGTTTTATAGTAACTCAATCCTAGGTTTTTTCAACTTATTTAGAATTAAATTATTTAGGCACTGAACGATGTTTGAGTGCAGCACAAAACCAGGGAACAGGAACACTGTCCCAGGTAGGTAGGTAGAGGAGTGAATGTGTCACAGCCAGGACTGCAGATTTTCCTTTAGAGAAGCAATGTTATAAGGCACTGGATTTGATAAATAATCCTTTACCACAAAGTATAGATTAGCAATTAATTATAAAGGAGAAAATAAATCAGAAAAAAATCACAAATTAAATTATGGTTATGATTACATTGGGACTATCACTTATGCTGGGAACACTATATAAAAGTTGTCTGATCACTTTTTAGTAACCATTTAACATGATGAAGCATGAGTCTTTTGATGTCTCAGAGTTTTTTTTATTTTTTAATTTTTATAGATTTTAAAAGTAGTTATGTAGTGGATGTAGATTTTAACGTATCAGTATTTCCAGTAAAAGTAACTACAGCAGCACATAACTCAGGTATCATTTACACACTGAAGTCACCATCATCCTCTGACAAGGAGCTGACATTGTCTACCAGCATAATTAACATGCAATCTTTTACTGTATTATATCCCTTACCTTGTAACATAATGTTTACACATACCAAACCCCATCCCATATCAATCCCTCAAAATTCCGTTAGTTGTTTAGTCTTCTTTTCAAGGTATAATTGCAGAAAAACACCTTAAGGCTTGCACCAGGAGATATCACGACCTTCAAGCCCAGAAGCTTGGAGGAACTCCAAGGACTGTGCATGCTCCGAGGAGGATGAAGATGATGAAGGAGGGGTTCCAAACTCCCCCAGACTCAATTCCCGAAGGGGTATGCCAGGGGGCATAACGGGGCAGAACTAGGGGGTGGACAGATTGGGATTGGATGGACTTTATTATAAAATCATAGAACTAGTGTCCGAGCACACGCGCGGGGGTATGTATTCCTGGGGCCTGAAGGCTCATTAAAGCTTCCACTCACCTCCTATACTAAATTGGTCTGGGGTCTTTTTTTCTCTGCGGTCTTTTAGGCAACACTTTCAAGACATGGATTAGCTTCAGTCTTTTCCTGAAATTGGCTTTCCACGCCTACAAATGCAGAACTACTCTTCAAAGTATTTTGCTTAATCAAATAAATTTCTGAAATGCATGTTAAAAGCATCATCCAAGAAATAATTATTAACAGTATTACCACATGTGCACAAAAGTAATAAAAATGCCTTAATGCCAATAAACATGAAAGGAATTAGAGCTGTACCGATTGTCTTTTCAAATTGCACGTGCTTCCCTTGCCATTCATAGCAACTAGAAATAACTTCCTCTTGGTTTTTGATGAAAACTAAGTATATAACTGTACAACAGTAGACCTATTGTGTCAGAATTTGTCAAGTGCTGACATCAAACACCAATGTATGAAATATCAAAGAGGTAATACTTTAAGGTTTAAAATTAAAAGGGCATTTGCAAAGCTGATATGATTCTTGTTTAGGGAGTAAATATATAAAGTATCTGTGCACAGAAAAGAAACCACTAAAAGACCTGTTAATTTAAAGTAAATACTGCAACCTAATTATCTAAATTTTCATGTTTGCTGCTTATTTATAGATTAAGTTTTAGAAATGTGACATAAGGAATAGTTTATTGCAGCATTAAACCACAGTTTTTCAAAATTTCATTCTTCAAAGGAAGTCTATGCAACTTTTACATACCTGTGCAATTGTTCATCTTTATAGTTCCTTAGATTTACATTTGGTCACTAGAAAAAATAGCAAATATAGCATTATATGAAACTTGTACATTAGGTCTTGATTAGTCACTAAAATTTATTCATTTATATTATGGTTCCATTCACTTAATAATTAGAATTTAAGTTTTCTTGTATCTAATGTTACCTATAAAATACCCTCTCTTTTTTTTTTTCTAATTGAAAAGCCCACATTCTTGCTCCAATAACTGTTCTATTATTTTCTAGAGAAGGACAGGGAATGTGAGGTGCACGCTATGCGTACAAGTCCATAATTCTAATGAAAATAGCAAACTATGACATGGTAATGAAAAATTAACAATTTTGCTCAGTTTCTTCTCTGCAAATAGCAAACAGATTTTGATATACATAACAGGGAAACGGTTTTGTTGTTGTTGTTTTCACTATTAATCAAATTTGTTTAAAAAAATAATCATTTTTCTGTTATAGTTCATTTAAATACTACTTTTTAAAATGGTGTTAAAACTCCTCTATTGATATTTGTAAGATGTTTTAAAAATGATCACACAAAGCCATAATACTATCTTCTGGACCTATCCTCTCTTCATATTATATTTTCCTCTGTTTTTACAACCATCTGTTTTCTTAATTTTTTTAGACTTATTTTTTTTGCTCCTAGTATCTTCTTGGAAAGGATGAAAAAAAGCACATCAAACATTTTTCTTTCCTACCTAAGCAATACAGTTCTACATTTCCAATTAGTATACTAGTATTAAGACATATAGTGCACTAGTTAATGATTAGTAAAACTGACTACACTAGTAACACTGAACCCACAGTGCCAGATTATGAAGCAGCATGTTAACAGTCTCAATTCCTCCATCCTGACCGCTGCCGCTTTTGATGCTCTTTTAGCAGCTTAGACTGCAAGTTGAGCAAGTAAAAAAAGGCAGCAAAGGACCATAAGAGATGCAAGTACTGAGGTGGTAGGAAAGCTGATGCTCCACAGCTGTGAGGTTGCAACTGAGATGGGAGTAGCCACATAAGATGGTGAAGTTCAAACACTGGAATCTGGATCCTGCTGATTCAGGGATTAAAGATGGACCACTGATAAATTGCTCAACACCAGTGTAAGCTAAGATAATGTTAACACAAACACAAGTGGTTAGAATCTAACTGGAAGACACAGTAACTTTCTCATTCTAAAAGACAGAAGTCTCTGGTTTTGAGATATTTAGAATTGTTCGACATGACACTAGAAAACATACTGCAGGAGGCATTTTAAATAGCAGGGGAACTGACAGTTTGACCTAAATTTCAGGGGAGAGGAGAAAAAAAACAAACACTAAAACTAAAAAAATCCTTAGTTGTCAACTACATAAAATTACTCAAATCAAAGTACTACACGGACTAATTAAAAAGTGAGATTCTGAAGAACAGTTTATTGATACAATTTTTAATACTAAATCAAAGGTAAAAAATATCTATTATCAATAATCATAGCTATATAGTAGCATTACAGTAAAAAGTCTGTAAACAGTGGAATTTGGTGGAGCAAAGCTACTGTCATATACCTATTCTGGCCTTTATACAAGAGATTCCTGCTCTCTCAAGTTTATCAGTCCCTGAGAAAATGCACAGAAATATTTAGGGGGATTTTTCTGGGGGGGGGAGGAGTGGGTGGGTGTTGCTTTTTTTAATATAATCTTGATTATATCTGTCACCATTAATCCTGTTCTGTACATTTGTCATCTTTATAGCAACATAGTAAAGACAACAGTAAGAAAATGTTACAAAATATTAGTTAGGAGTAACGACAGAAGGATGGTTTTGATGCACAGAATGACAGGAGCTATTTTGGCTCTAAGACTATATCGAGTACTCAGAAAGTTTTCTTACTCAAAGAAAGTCCTCTGCTTAAAAAAGAGGCAGTCCCTTAAAAGCTGTTCATTAAATATATTAAGATAATGTCCTCCCTGTCAGAGATATTTCCTGTACTTTTTGTGAAAACAAATTAATTTTGTAATGAACTTGATGCTATGGGACTATTTAAATTAGTTCAAAACATACAATAAGACTGCATGCTACTGGAATTTTAATGTGTGGTTCAGTCTAAGCATCTGAAGCTTGATCTGTAACTCACCTCCAGATAATTTTCTGAAATAAAAGAGATTATGGAATATAGTATGGAATTGATATGAGAAAGTCAAAGCTCAAATGTGAAATGGAGATGACAACTCCCTCCCTTCAATTTCATAAAAACAGTATCATGCTTTTTTAAGGTCACCTTCAGTATGGTCCCTATCAGATTCCAATTCCACTCGAGATTCTCTTTATGACTGAGAACTTGGCTGTCTCGAAGATTCATTACAAGTGCTTCTCCTGTATCCTGGAATACAGACAAAAAAAACCCTACAGTAAGTTTCCTTGCATTATGTGTTGTCACACGATATACTTACTGTTCTTATGATAATCATTAAAAGGAATATGCTCCACAGTATTTTGCATTTGAAAGTAAATTCAATGGTTATAGTACTGCATCAAAAAACTAATAGTAAGGAATAATATTTGGGACTAAAAAGCATTAAAACTTATTGTAATTTCACTCCTCAATTTCTAGAAATACAATATAGTATCCCCAAGTATCTAGAATACAAATTAAATGAAAAAACTACAAAGAAATCACACAATGGTTCTGAAATAAAGGAGAGAGTTTGGGGGTGGGATGGGATTTATGTCTCCAAAATACAAAATCGAATTCAGTTTTGAAAAATCAATAATGGTAATACCTTTAAAATAAAGATGTCTTTTGGCACACGGTACTGATCCCTTTTTTGGTGGGTTAAGATAGCTTTCTGAATAATATGATCTAAATGGAGGCTGTAAGGTTTAGGTCCTCTTTTCTTCATCTCATGAAAGCGTTTTAAGCAGTTGAGTGCGACACTTACTCGTCTAATAGAAAAAGTACTATAATCAGTATTTAACAACTGTTATTCAACTAAAGAGCATCACTGCTATATCTTGAGTTAAATAAACATAGCTCAATAAAGAATTCAATAATAATTCCAAAGCAAATAAAAAGAAAATAATTTTCTTTATATGTTTTCAGTCTTGTACTGAAATTATACAGAAAATTATCTTTCAGAATTTCTAGTACCAAAGAATGATATTGCAAAGATGCTAGAAAGTCATGACCTTGTTGCCATTACTGAAACTTGGTGGGACGAATCCCATGACTGAGGTGTGACTATCGATGGCTACAGACTGTTCAGAAGGGATAGGGGAGGAAGAAGGGACGGAGGGGTTGCTCTCTACATCAAGAGGTGGATTGAGTGTGAAGAGCTGTCTCTGAAGAACAGCCATGAGCAGGTGGAAAGCCTGTGGGTAAGAATCAGAGACCGAGGCAACAAAGGGAACCTCATGGTTGGTGTCTACTACAGGCTGCCTGATCTAGGGGAGCCCATTGAAGAAGCCATCTTGCTCCAGCTACAGGAGGCATCGTGCTTGCAGGCTCGTCCTGCTGTGGGACTTCAACCACCCTGACATCTGCTGGGAAAAGTAACACGGTGAGCTGTAGGCAATCCAGGAGACTCCTGGAATGCATGGAGGACAACTCCTTGAGCCAGATAATAGACAGTCCTACCAGAGGGGATGTGATACTGGGTCTGATGGCCACCAATTAGGGACATCAAGATTGGAGGCAGCCTGGGCTGCAGTGATCATGCACTGGTGGACTTCGCAGTCCTGAGGGATATGGGTCAGGTAAGGAGTAAAGTCAGGCTCCTGAACTATAGAAAAGCAAACTTCCAGCTCTTCAGGGAGATTGTCAGTAGGATCCCCTGGGAGACTGCACTTGGGGACAAGGGAGCGGAACAGAGCTGGCAGATCTTTAAAAAAGTCTTCCATAGAGCACAAGAGCTAGTGATCCCCAGGAGCAAGAAATCAGGCAAGGAAGGCAAAAGACCAGCATGGCTCAGTTGGGACCTGCTGGTCAAACTAAAGGGCAAGAAGGAAATACACAGGCAGTGGAAACTAGGACAGGTAACCTGGGAAGAGTATAGAGATGAAGTTTGGTTGTGTAGAGATGGGGTCAGGAAGGTCAAGGTGAAACTGGAGTTGAACCTGGCAGGGAACACAAAGAATAACAGGAAGGACTTCTACAGGTATGTCAGCCAGAAAAGGAAGGTCAAAGAAGGTGTTATTCCCCAATAAACAACACTGGTAAACTGGTAACAACAGATGAGAAGGTCGAGGTACTCAACAACATTTTTGTCTCAGCCTTCAATGGCAACCTCTCTTCCCACACCTCTTTAGTGGATGGACAGCAGGATGGGGACTGGGGGAGCAAAGTCCCTCCCACCGTAAGTGAAGATAAGGTTTGTGACCACCTGAGGAACCTGAATGTACATAAGTCTATGGGACCTGTTGAGATGCATCCCAGAGTCCTGAAGGAATTGGCTGATGTAGCTGACAAGCCACTCTCCATGATATTTGAAAAGTCATGGCAGTCAGGGGAAGTCCCAGGTGACTCTAAAAAGGGAAACATTGTAACCATCTTTAAAAAGGGTTGAAAGGAGGACCCTAGGAACCACTGCCCTTTCAACCTCACCACTGTGCCTGGGAAGATTATGGAACAGATCCTCCTAGAAGCTCTGCTGAGGCACATGGAGGATAGGGAGGTGATTTGGGACAACCAGCATGGCTTTACCAGGGGCAAGTCCTGCCTGAACAACCTTGTGTCCTTCTGTGATGGAGCGAATCCATCAGTGGTGATGCCTCAGAGTTTTTTTTTGGATTTTTTAATTTTTTATAGATTTTAGAAGCAGATGTGTAGTGAATGTAGATTTTAATGTAGCTGTATTATATCTCTTACCCTGTAGCATAATGTTTACACATACCCAACCCTACTACCCCATCTCATATCAATCCCTCTAAAATTCTGTTAGCGTGTTTAGTCTTCTTTTCAAGGTAGAATTGTAGAAAAACACCTTAAGACCTGGACCAGGAGATATCACACAGACACAGCGACCTTTAAGCCCAGAACTTTGGAGGAACTCCAAGGACTGTACATGCTGCGAAGAAGATGAAGATGAGGAAGAAGGGGTCCCATACGCCCCCAGACCCAGTTCCCAAAGGGGCATGTTGGGGGGCAGAACAGGGTGGAACTGGGGGTGGACAGAACTGGGATTGGATGGACCTTATTATAAAATCATAGAACCACTGTCTGGGCGCACGCATGTGGTATGTATTCCTCTAGGCCTACGGACTCATTAAAGGACCTGCTCTCTTTATCTTATCTCATACACTAAATTGACCTGGAATCTTTTTCTCCATGGTCTTTTAGGCAACAGTGGACAAGGGAAGGTCTATGGATGTCATTTGTCTGGACTTCTGTAAAGGCTTTGACATGGTCCTCCAGAACATCCTTCTCTGTAAATTGGAGAGATGGATTCACTGAGTGGACTGTCAGATGGATAAGAAAGTGGTTGGATGGTGGCATCCCCAGACTGGGGAATGAACAGATTGAGAGTAACCCTGCTGAGAAGGACTTAGGGGTGCTGGTGGATGAGAGACTGGACATGAGCCAGCCATGTGCACTTGCAGCCCAGAAAGCCAACCATGTCCTGGGCAGTGTGATCAGCAGGTTGAGGGAGGGGATTCTGCCCCTCTACTCTGCTCAGCTGAGACCCCAGACAGAGTATTGCATCCAGCTCTGGGGTCCCCAGCACAGGAAGGACATGGACCTGTTGGAGCCAGTCCAGAGGAGGCCACCAAGATGATTAGAGGGATGGAGCACCTCTCCTACAAGGAAAGACGGAGAGAATTGGGATTGTTCAGCCTGGAGAAAGCTTCAGGATGACCTAATTTCAGTTTTCCAGTACATGAAGGGGCTTACAAGAAAGATGGAGACTATTTACAAGAGCATGGAGTGACAGGACAAGGGGGAATGATTTCAAACTGAGAGTAGGTTTAGATTAGATTGGAAGAAATCCTTCCCTGAGAGGGTGGTGAGGCCTTGGCACACGTTGCCCAGAGAAACTGTGGCCGCCCCATCCCTGGAAGTGTTCATGGCCAGGTTGGATGAGACTCCGAGCAACCTGGTCGAGAGGAAGGTGTTCCTGCCCATGGCAGGGGGATGGAATGAGATGAACTTTAAGGTCCCTTTGTAAAGAACTAATAGAAGCAATACATGCTTTGCCATCTGTTTGTTTGAACTGCAAGAAGCGAATTGTTTTGACTGTCCAGATGGCCATGAGCCAGGGGATGGCAGTACCTGCACACGGTGCCGAGACTGGGTTTGTGTTAAACATGCCGTTACTATGTTGCTACCACCTGCTGTAAGGCACGCCTCCCCAGACCCTATATAAGCAAGTGCCAGAGATGCGTCCGAGGGAAGAGATTGAAGACACACCGCGGGATCGGGCGGGGGCACGCCGCACGCAAGATCGAAGGAGGGAAACCCTGCCCCCCACATGCACCACGGGGACACGCCGCAGTCACCACACACTGCGGGAATTCCCCACACTCCGCAGAGACCAGAGACCCGAGAGTGAGCCGGATGGAGACACACACCCCCCCCATCACCAAGGACTGGATTCAGTGCTGAGGCCATGGAGGTAGTAAAACTCTTTCCTGTGCTTCTTGTAATTACTCTTTGTAGAGGGCTGGTTAGCAAGACAAGGACATATGGATATAGCTAAAGCTATGGATGAGCTGTTAGAGTATAGAACACGGCCTGTCTAGGCCTGTGAGAAGATCTGAGATAGCAAGGCCATGGCAAGGCTACAGTGTTTTTGTGCCTGCTAGTTGACTGGTAAACAGGACGTTGTGATTAGCAAAACAAAAGCAACTGAGAGCCACCTGTGTCAACAAAAGAAGGGAGTAAAAGTGAAATCAACATTTAAGCAAGAACCAATAATGAGCTTAGCCTTTGCAATATGTATGAGCTAATTATAAAGCGTATATTAAGCTGTTAGCAGTGATCAATAAACGAAGTTTGCTGATTCTCATATTGAGCGTCCCTCTCTTCCCTCGTCGCGACAACTCTTAGCTTTTCCCACTTTTTTCTATTTTCCTTCTTTCTCCCTCTGTCTCTTTTATAGTTAATAAAGTTGAATTATCCTTTTGGATACCAACATTTGACCTAGTTTGTGTCATAATCTCGCTTTCGTGTATATTCAAACTTAAGTCCTCTCTGCATTTACGGATAGAGGCACACTTCACCTCTCTGTACCTAAGTGGATTGGAACACCCTTCCAAACCAAACCATTCTATGAAAGTTTTAAGTTGACAAAGTATTGTGGCAGAAGTATCAGTAGTATATTTCCTGCTCTTTATATCTAAACAGCTCTGCAACTGCACATAAGTAACTCCAGGAAAAGATAGGAAGTAACAGAAATTACATTTGACATGTGCAGAAACAGTTAATTGCAAAATAATGGTAGCAGAAAAAAAACTTTACTGAGTAAATTAAATAAGGAAGTCCAAAAATGAGGAGGTACATCTCCCTTTCTTCCCATAAACAAAAATCCTCATAGGGTAGGAGAGTGGGTTTTTTGGTATTCTCTTCAAACAAATACCAGTGAATTTGATCACCAACTTAAATTCCATAAATTTCATCTATAACAGGATTTACAGTTTTTCAGAGTATGAAACAATGCAGAGCATTTACCAAAACCAGGATCCCTAAATATAACAAACACAACATCCACAAAATTACTTTCTTCCAACAAAACCAGGACTTCTTACTACTCTAACAGCTATGTCCACAAATGCCAAAAACCACAAAAATTCCAAGTAATCCACAAAGATATCTCTCCTGCTCTTCATCCTTTCTCTCCTCCCACAGCTTTGACCAAGTGAAATACCCTGTGAAGGAATTTTGGATATGATTTTTTTTTGAAAATTAACTGTGTTTTCACATATCAAAATCTTTTAGTGACATGTAAGAAACCTTCAAAACTAAAAAGCGGAAGAGTATTAAGTTTTTGGGCAGCACTCTACAAGCAGCATTTATCACTTCACAGTAACAGTTCAAAAAGATTCTTTAATTTCTCACTGACAACACAACAAAAGACAAAATAAAAAGTAATGATACATTTATGATAATACTGACCTGGCAAATCAGATCAGGAGTGGCAAGAGTAATTAACAAAAACATTTCCTATAATTTACTATTAGAAAAAAACACAACACACTCAATTTAAATGGTCTTCTACAAAGAAATGCAAGTAAGACCACTGAGTTACAGAAACACATTTTAAAGACACTAATCTATCAAATTATTTGACTTCTTTCCTCGTGAGGTTTAAATTGTGTGAAGTAGCCAGGAGATGGTATTTTATGACAGAGCATTTCTTAGGTTAAATTGCAAGATTAGTAGATGTATAGAAAAAATCTAAAAAATAAGGAAAACAACATAAAAATGCCCACAGGTTTTTAAAATTTCAAAATTCAGGTATTTCTCAATCAAAGAGGAATAGAAAGCTTTTATAAACATTTGCTTCAAGTCAGATGCCTAAATACACTTCATTTGACTAACATGAGTGCCAAACAATTCCTAATGCTACTTAACATGCCACTGGAGAATGCTGCACTAAATTGTTTCAAATATCTGTTCATATTCAAGTTTTAACGTAATTACTATTGTTACAATTATAATTTTCTTCTGAAGAAAAAAGGGTTTAAAAAACAGCCAGCTTTTGCTCTTGTTCACACTAATAATGATTCACTGATTTGGTGCATAACTATACAATTAGCTACAGATAAACATCAAAAGACAAAAAACGGTACAGACTTTTTTAGTTTCGAAACCATGGAGAGGTCAAACACACAGAACGTATCTCAGGCAGCGCCTTAGAGTTCATTTAATAAAAATTCCGTGCAAGAAAAATCTTGCAATCTATGCAAAAATGTTCCAAAATCCACTATGAAAACTTTGTTTTCAAATTTCTGAAATTCTAAATTGTTACTGTAAATAGATCACACTTTTGGAATCATACACTAGAAACTATTTCCCTAATAAGTGTCACAGAGCATTTCTGTATTCTATTTTTCTTTCAAATAAAGACAACAGTGGTTTCAGCTATAAAAAACCCTCATAATGTAGGTTTTCATTCAACTGCAGGGGGGAAAGGAGACATACATATTTTCACTTTTAAGTATAACTTAGAATTCTTACAGTCTTTTCTCTTTCATGATGTCAAAAGATGCTGCCATATTCATTAGTGTTGGTAAGCAGTGTAGGTGATGGCTGTGAGAATGAGGAAGGATTGTGTTTGCCTAAGAAATAACAGAAGACTAGTTAGAATACCTTAGTACATTTCCAGCCATCTCTTTAGGATCAACATTTGAAGAATCCATCACTTTTCACAAGACTTTCACAAATGCATAGTAACAAAACTACCCTTGACATAATATCAGAGCAATACTTACACATATCATTTAGAATATTTGACCTAATTAATCAATCTCAAATAGAATTGAAAATAACTTAAGACAATATTTCAACTCAGAGTCTTATTTCAGGGCCTTCTCATTTGTATTTTTTGCACTGGTGGTTTTGAAAGTTATAAAATGCAAAAACACACAAAGCATCAGATATTCTTATGTCATGTGTATAAAAGTACTAAAAACCCTAAAATCAGAAACACAATTTAAGCTAAGGATGTTCATTCAATACTTTTGACTACCAATGATTTTGCACCAAAAAAAATTATCTGATAAATAAACATAACTCCACAAGTTACTGGACATTTAATTGCTTTTATTTTGGGAAACATTCGGGCTTTGGGAAACAATTTGGGTAGTTGTGCAAATACTTTTGAAAACTAAAGAATAATGAAGATAAAGAAATTACTTCAATACCGTAAAATTAGAGCACAAATATTTGTTCAATATTTTGATAAATGGTCATCTCAGACTAGTGAATTATCTCTTTAGAAAACTAAAATATATCTATGCTTTGCAGTATACTCAAACTTTAGTGCATCTAATCACTCCCATTCAAATATATTCCAGAAGCCATGAAAAACAGCACACATTAATGCAGATTCCTCTTTTCAAACTACATGGTTGACTGAACACTCAAAAAATCCAAACAGTTATTTAAAGAATAAATAAAGTAAAATAAAATCACTGAAGAGACTAAAGAACAAATTTGTTGTGGTTGTGAACCATGCTGCTGAGTTGAGCTGTTATAAGTCACTGTAGTGATAAGCAATCCTATACCTCAAGATTGTGGTCTTGGTTTTTTTGAGCATTAAGAACAAACCAATCCCACACTGCTGAAATGAGTCTATAGTTTGAAGATGCAGACTATATCTGATAAATCATATTCACATTTTTGTAAGAAAAATTTGTATTTCACAATCTTACTGTCTCTTATAAAGCAGTTTATTTGGGGAAAAAGTTTAAAAAAGAAAACTGATCAAAAAGCACTCTGCTGCATATGCCTCTTCCCATCAAGAAAGGCCATGAAAAAGAAGAATTGTTTTGCAAGAAAGGTAAATCATATCATTTCATGTGACTAACAGTTTCTCAGCAGGCTGAAAGGTAGCAATGGAGTGTATATGAAAAGAGTATCATCTCTATACCAAAATAATTTAAGTTCTGCTCTTCAGGCAGGTTTCTTTTGGTTAGTTGATTGGTTTTGGTCTGGAGTAGGCTAAAGCAACCTGAGCAAGATAAATACAATAGTGCCATGATGGATGGTTATAGGCTCTCCAGGAGGAATCGTCAGGGCAGGCAAAGTGTGTGTGTGGGTGGCATTGTATGTAAGGGAGCGATTGGATTGTATGGTGCTTGCAGTTGGTGATGACATGGTTGAGAGCCTCTGGGTAGGATTAAGGGGAAAGCAAATAAAGTGGATGTTGTTGTGGGAGTCTATTATCAATCACCCAGCCAGGACAATGACACCGATGAATTATTCTACAAGGAATCCAGGGATATCTTTAGATCGGTTGCCCTTGTCCTTATGGGTGACTTTAACTTGTCAGACGTCAACTGGGAATATCATACAGTGGGCACGTTGTTTGCAAACAGAGAGGAACTCATGGGTAAAGTGGTGATTGGTCACTGTCTTGGTCTCAGTGACCACCAAGTAGTTGAGTTTCAAATCATTAGCAGTAGAAGAAAAACTGTCAGCAAAGCTTCATCCCTGGAGATGGGGAGAGCAGACTTTGGGCTGTTAGTAAGGTCCCCTGGGAATCTGCTTTTGAAGGTATTGGGGTCTATAAATGCTGGTCACTTTTTAAGAGCCATCTCTTAAGAGCACAAGAGTAGGCAATTCCAAAGTGTCAGAAGTCAAGCAAGCAGGATAGAAGGCCAGTTTGGCTGAGTGGGGATCTTCTTCTACAACTTAGGCAGAAAAGGAAGGAGTACAGACACTGAAAGCAAGGGCAGGCAGCAAATGATGACTAAAGAGATGCTGTTCACCACTGTAGGGAGAAAATTCATGTGGCCAAAGCTCAATTGGAGTTGAAGCTGGGCAGTACTGTGAAGGACAACAAAAAGGGCTTTTAAAAATATATTAACAGCAAGAGGAGAATCAGATAGCATTGGTCCATTGATTGACAAGGTTGGTCACCTGAAAAATAGGGACATGGACCAAGCAGAGGTGTTCAATGCCTTCTTCACCTCTGTCTTCAACACCAATGATGGGCCCTGGGACCCCTGGAGCCCCCTATTGGAAGACTGTGACTGGAGGAATAATAAACTCCCATCCGATTCTACACTTTTTCGAGATTTGCTGCTCCACCTGGACACACAGGGTTCAATGGGATTCATCCCATGGTACTGAAAGAGTTGGCTGATGCCATCGTGGGACATCTCTCCATTATTTTTCAAGGGTCTTGGAAATCTGGAGAGGTCCCAGCCAACTGGAAGCTGGCAAATACTGTCCCAATTTTCAAGAAGGGCAAGAAGGAAGCCCCTGGTAATTGCAGGCCTGTCAGTCTCACTTCAGTGCCTGGCAAAATTATGGAAAGGTTATTTTGGAAGTTACTGAGAGAGGTAGAGAGACCTTACAGGGAGATCTGGATAGACTAGAGAGTTGGGCAATCACCAACTGTGTGAAATCTAACAAGACCAAGTACCAGATTCTCCACCTGGAACGGGGTAATCCTGGTTATACATACAAATTGGGGAACAAGAGGCTGAAGAGAAGCCCCCTGGAAAGAGATCTGGGGGTTTGGGTTAATGGCAAGTTGAATATGTCAACAGTGCCCTGGAAGCCAGGAAGGCCAATGTCTGGGGGGGCATCAGGCCCATCACCAACTGGTTGAGGGAGGTGATTGTCCTGCTCTGCACTGGTGAGACAGTTTTGGGCACCACAATATAAGAAGGACATCACACTATTAGAATGTGTCCAGAGGAGGCCTGTGAAGATGGTGAAAGGTCTCAAGGGCAAGGCTTACGAGGAGTGGCTGAGGTCACCTGGTTTGTTCAGCTTTAAGAAGAGAAGGCTGAGGGGGGGCCTCATCACAGTTTACAGCTTCCTCGAGGGGGGCAGCAGAGGGGGAGGTGCTAATCTCCTCTCTCTGGTGACCAGTGATAGGACATGAGGAAATGGAATGAAACTGCATCAGGGAAGTTCAGACTGGAAATTAGGAAAAGGTTCTTCACGGAGAGGGTGGTTGGGTACTGGAACAGGCTCCCTGGGAAAGTGGTCAAAGCACCAAGCCTGACAGAGTTCAAGGAGTGTCTGGACAACACTCTTAGTCACAATTTAGTTTTAGGTAGTCCTGTGAGGAGCAGGGAGTTGGACTTTATGATCCTTATGTGTCCCTTCCAACTTGAGATATTCTACAATTCTATGAATAAGTTTACAGTTTCCTCTCATATCTAGCTGTTGAAATAAGTATAAATCCTGTTAGTGTTGATACAGGGGGGTAGGCCCAAAAGAGTTAACTAAGAAATTTGGGCCTGCAAACAAGTTACCAACATCTAAAACGATCTGTGCTCGTTCTGTTCTACTTACTGGACCAAAGCTTAAGCTTATAGTACAAGAACATGAAATAGACCTGGAGGCAATAAATTAGAAATATAACAGGATCAGGTAGACATTTGAATAGGAGAAATAGGCCTGGAGCCAGGGCTTTTTCCGAGCTTCAGTGAGCGGGTCAAGAACAATGGAAAGGAAGAAAGGTCAAACTGAGGAAGAGGAGTTAAAGCCCCCTGCCCCATGGATGAAGATGGGAATGACCCCTTGAAATGGGGTGCCAAGAGAAGCACCGCCCCAAGTTCCGCCTATTCTCCGCCTATTTTTAATATGTATTGATAGATGTTGTAATCGTTTGAATATGCATTTAATCACATCTAAAATTGTATAAAAGTGCTGATTTTCTGAAGAGTCGGTGAGCAAGTTTGTCCAGCGCGAGCTGGCTTGCTCCCAGCGCTGCAAATAAATACCTTTGCTGCTCAAAAGATCAAAGTCTCTGAGCAGTTTCTCAGACCGATTTTTCGGATTCAGTGTGATACTGAAAAGCAGCAGAAACGAACTTCTTAACACCAATTTGTAGATGTTGAAAAGGGCATTCTTCTTTATTCAGCATGCTGGACATTCAGAGGATAGCTACTCTAATCAAACATGCCAAATGACAGTTAGACAGGGCTTTTTATTACACATACTGTTTATATATTCATTAGGTAGTCTTGCTTACTTAATACATATTCATTATTTTTCTTTACATAGTCACATCCTTATTGGAAGCCTTTGTTTGGTCCTTCCAAGTCTTCTTTGTTGTCTTGACCTCAGTTCTTGAGCAGGCACAGCATCATTGTGCTTCACCACCAAAAACTGTAATGTTTGTTCTTTATTTTATCTGGGTACATAGAGCTTAGTTTACATCCTGTTTGTTTGAGTTACATTCCTTATCTAATTCTTGAGGACTTCTCTAAGATTATATTGTTCCTTATTTGGGTATTCCGGGGTACTGTGAGTAAAGTTTCTATTTCTCCTATCAGTGTAGAATGGCAAAACTTTAATCTTGTTGTGGTACAGCATGAAGGAAAAAAAAGAAGCTACTGTAAGAGAGATTTTAAGGACAGGGAAAAGGAACAAAGCAAGGTCCCTTCAACTTCTCTGCAGCAGGAGCTACCAACAGCAGTGTTGAAAGAGTGCTCCAAGTTGGAGTTGCCTGAATGAATAATATGAAGTGCCTAAGCCACATCAAGCTGAACATGAAAACAAGTTTCATCTGCCTAGCCTGCAAGGCAGAAAGCTAAACACACTGCCACAGAGCTACTATAATTTTAGGAAAAGCAAAAAGTATCAATAGTCCTTTTCCCAAACACAGTAACCAATGAGTTTGCAGGGTTCCAGCTTAAAAATAGAACTGATTGCTGAGGCCTATCCTTGGAGCAGAAGCCCTAGCACTTCCAGTACATTCCAAACGACCTTCCTATTGACTCATGATGGTTTTAATATATGAAGTGCCATATGTTGTAATATAAAATAAACTATTATTTTGATGAAAAGTGTACGTACCAAATTTGTAACATAAATTCTAAGCTATATGAGGAAATATCTATTTAAAATGAGCTACTAATACTACTTATTCTCAACAAAAAGTCTTACTTACCATGTGCAAAAGTTCTCCTAAAAGGATAGTTGCTCTAACAGATACATGGTCATCACTACTTGTGATCACTTCAACCAGACCCTTCAAAAAGTTAAAAAAATCATTACATTTAATGTAAAATGTCTTATTTTAATGTTTATAGAAAAAAAGTAGCAAGCATCTATTTAAACTTCAAGACAGTAGTTACCTCTAGAAGTCCATTAGTAATAAAAGCTGAAAGCACTAAAGTCAAGTAATTATCCATGAGATCAGGCCTAAGGAGAAAAATGTATGAAAATAGTTTAGAAAGTACATTTCTTATTGTGCCTGCAAGAAAATAACAAATATTTTTGTCAACAATAACAGAAAACTAAATCAAGAGTTTAGAGTTTGTGAAATGCTCACCTTGACCTGGCTCGATGTGGTAGTATAGTTTTAGCTTCAGCAGCTACAAAGCCATCAGAAAGTCTCCAGCAGTCCTGAAATCTGCTTGGATCTACAACAAAAAAATATGGACAATTGTAATTATAACACTGCATTTCATAGTATTATTTTAGTGGTTCTCAATACATGAATAATAGTTCTTACTAACTGTTATTTCAGGTTTAAAATTATAGAAAATTTTGTCAGAAGGGATCTCTAACAAGTCATCTAATCCACACTCTTGCACAAAGCAAGACTAACTTCAAAGCTAGGACAAAGATCTCATTTAAATATCAACCAAAATAATTAAATTTCCAATTCATAAACACATTGAACTTGTTTACCAGAAAATATCATAAACACCTAACATTTTAAACTGTACATCCATATGTTGCAAAGTAGCCAGTTTGTAACAAATAACAATTTATTTGTTTATAAGGACAGAACAAGGATTAAGCTTGATTATACAACTGTATGGGCAGCTGTAGAGGGTCCCCCCGTTGGGCCCACACGGCCCGGGGCCACCCCGGGGCCACTCCCAGGTCGCCCCCGGCTGCCCCCGGTGCGGGAAAGGTGAGGAGGAGCCTCGCTGGTGTGGCTTTGCGCCCTCGTGGGAGAGGAGAGAGGAAGCCTCGCAGCACACAGAGGTTTGCCGGCCCAGTTTGGGGGAGGGGAAGGGTGCCGGGCAGGTTGTGCGTGGGCCATGGGGGTCCTTCAGACGAGCGGGGGGGGGGGGGGGAGGGTGGATGAGGAAGACCTACATGAAGTGTCACAGGTAAGCGGTGCACAGGAAGATATGAGGTAACACGGTGGAGGGAGGGCAAGGTCAGGGTGGCTAATGGTTTCTTCTGGGGGGTTGATGGTATCGGCCAGGTTAGGGCCTTGAGAGGTACTCAAGCCCCAGGTGGGTACGAGGGCCAGAACGGTTTTGTTCGTTTGTTTGTTTTTGGCTTACCTGCAGCTACTGCCCAGGCCCAGTATGTTCTGGATATATTTGTTACATCCTGCAAGGGTGGTCAGGACAAAGGGTTGTTCCTGGGTATTTCCTTGGGATTGTATATAGATAGGTGGCAGAAAAGCAGGAAGTGAAAGACTTACCCTAATCGTTTCAATAGGAATGAAGGCTGTGTACCCCTATGTGGTTGTGAGATATGCTAGCGATGGTACATGCCTTCGGTAGGGTCGCTCATGCCAGACAGGTCAAAACCGTAGGGCCAGATACAATACATCCTTGGGCAGGATGAGCTCATTAGCCTTTTGGCAGTCATCCTAGGAGAAGGACAACTCTAATCCCAAACTGGGGTAGATGGAGTTCGCATAGCCCTGTAAGGCCATCCATCTAAGAGAAGGACACTCTAATCAAACCTACGTCCTGAGGACCTCGCTGCCACCGTCCAAGCTCGCTCGGCCCTGGCAGATGAACCTTAGGATTAAAGGGTGGGTTCAGTTCCACACATACTGCATCTCACCTAAAAAATCCATTGCGCAGGCTTGAAGGCTTTACCCACATTCACAAAGTCCTGTAGCGACGGGCGAGGGTCAAAACGGCAGGTGAAAGGTGCACTGGAAGCCCCAGACCCAACCCTGCATGCAGGCGGTTCAGGATATTGGTCATTTGAGACTGACCGGAGATGACAGTCTCTTGGGGCAGCACCCTGAATGACCAAGTAGCCTTTTCAAGGACAGCACTGCTGGCTCCACTCAGAGAGGGGCCTAGAAAAGGTGGCCTAAACAAAGCTCATCTCCACTTTCACCCGGTTGGTTAACTGCAGGCCAATGGGCATCTTCTTCCAATGCGGTCACACAAAGATCAAGAGACAAAGGCATACACCTGCCTCCAAAGGTGTTCCTAAATTAACTCTCGCATGCTGGAATATCAGAACCATGCACGATTCTGCGAATAGTGGTCGCCCTGAGCATTGCTCTGCCATAATTGTTCACGAAATATCACGTCTCAACATCGACATAGCTGCTCTCAGTGAAGTTCGTCTTCACGAGGAAGGCAGCCTTAGAAAACAAGGTGCCGGTTACACACTCTTTTGGTCAGGTAAACCTAGAACCGAAAGGCATCTCTCGGGACTAGGCTTCATGATCAAAAACTCTATTCTTCCCAAACTCGAAAACCTGATGACAGGTCATTCTGATTGCATTATCTCCTTCCACTCCACAACAAGTAGCATGTTGTCCTCTTTAGTATATATGCCCCAACTCTCCAAGCAGACCCTGTCGAAAAAGATAAACTTTACACTGACCTGCGCCGCCTTACCCAAAAGGTTCCTGCAGGTGATAAGATCATTATCCTTGGTGATTTCAACACCAGAGTAGGAAAGAACTTTGAAGCCTGGAAAGGAGTATTAGGCAAGCATGGTATTGGAAACTGCAATGATAATGGTCGCCTTCTGCTAGAATTCTGTGCGGAGTAACAACTCACCATCACCAGAAAAATAGTCTGAAGACAACCTTGATGCATCCTAGATCTAAGCATTGGCATCTCATTGATTACGTCCATGATGTCCACCATACCCGTGTGATGCCTAGTTCAGAATGCCAAACAGACCATTGACTTGTGCGCTGTAAACTTAACTTCAATCTTAAGTTCAAAACAAAAAGGGGCTGTATCCCAAGGAGGAGACTCCAAGTTAACAATCTCCACTCAGCCACAGTGAGAGACAGATTCCAGGCAAATCTTCAAACTAGGCTTGAAAATCATTCTAAAGATTCTCTGGATGCCTCTCCTGAAACAATTTGGCACCATAGTAAAAACAGCATCCTGCAGTCCTCTGAAGAATCCTTAGGGTTCTCCTTCAAGAAGAACAAGGACTGGTTTGATGAAAACAATCAAGAGATCCAGGAACTGTTGAGGAAGAAGAGAACTGCCCACCAAGCACATCTTGCACTGTCATCCTGTCATGCAAGAAAAGCAGTCTTTCGTCTTGCATGCAGCAAGCTCCAAGAGAAACTCCGTGACATCCAGAAAAAGTGGTGGATCAATCTAGCTGAAAAAACTCAATTATGCGCAGATACAGGTGATCACAGAGGATTCTATGAGGCCCTGAAAACAGCATACGGGCCTACATACCAGGTCCAAAGCCCTCTACTCAGCGCTGATGGTCAAACGCTTCTGACAGATAAAACCTCCATTCTGAATCATTGGTCTGAACACTTTCAGACTCTCTTCAGTACCAACTATGTAGTCCAAGACTCAGCAATTCAGTCCATCACACAACAACTGGTGAAGTACGAATTGGATACCGTCCCCTCTTTGGGAGAAACCCTTAAGGTCATACAACAGGTGAAAATTGGCAAAGCAGCTGGGGTTGATGGAATTCTACCTGAAGTCTGGAAACATGGGGGCCAAGCACTCCATGATAAATTCCACGAGTTTGTGGTGCGCTGTTGGGAACTAGGCAAACTACCATCAGACCTTTGTGATGCAGTCATCATCACTTTGTATAAGAAGAAAGGTACTAAATCAGACTGTTCAAATTACCGTGGTATTACTCTGCTCTCCATTGCTGGTAAAATCCTGGCAAGAATACTTTTGAACAGATTAATACCCGCCACAGCAGAAGGAATTCTACCTCAAAGCCAATGCGGTTTCAGAGCCAACAGGAGTACCACAGACATGGTATTTGTTCTTAGACAACTGCAAGAGAAGTGTAGGGAACAGAAAAAAGCACTCTATGTAACCTTTGTTGATCTCACCAAGGTTTTCGATACTGTGAGCAGAAAAGGTCTATGGTAGATTTTGGAACGTTTAGGTTGTCCCCCCAAGTTCCTTAAAATGATCATCTCACTCCATGAGGATCAGCGCGGCCAAGTCAGATATGGTGATGCACTTTCTGAGGCCTTTCTAAAAACTAATGGTGTGAAACAAGGCTGTGTTCTCGCACCAACTCTATTCACAATCTTTTTCAGCATGATGCTCCAAAGGGCCACGTCAGACCTCGATGATCAGGACGGTATCTAGATTCAATATCGTACTGATGGAAGCCTATGCAACCTAAGGCGACTGAAGGCCCACACCAAGACCTAAAATCATCTTGTTCGGGAGCTGCTTTATGCTGATGACGCCGCCCTTGTGGCCCACACAGAAATAGCTCTGCAGCGTTTAACATCCTGCTTTGTTGAGGTTGCTGAGCTCTTTGGGTTGGAAGTCAGCTTAAAGAAGACAGAAGTTCTCTATCAACCTGCACCTCAGGAAGTCCCCCATCATCCCCATATCACCATTGGCCAATCAGAGCTCAAATCAGTCCAGCAGTTTAATTACCTAGGCAGCCTCATCTCCTCGGATGGTAAGATTGCCAGAGATAGACAACAGGTTAGCAAAGGCATATAGTGCTTTTGGAAAACTCCATAAAAGAGTCTGGTGAAATAAACACTTGAAGAAAAGTACCAAGATCAGTGTTTACAAAGCCATAGTGCTGTCTACTCTTTTATATGGATCCGAATCATGGGTCATCTACCGCCACCACCTGCATCTTTTAGAACTCTTCCATCAGTGCTGTTTCCGTACAATCCTAAACATCCACTGGTCAGATTATGTGACTAATACATCTGTTCTAGAACAAGCAGCAGTCACAAGTATTGAGGCCATGTTGCTGAGAACACAGTTGCGCTGTGCAGGGCACGTCTCAAGGATGAAGGACCACCGCCTCCCTAAGAACTTGCTTTATGGTGAACTTGCCACTGGTTACTGGAAGAGAGGAGCCCCGAAGAAAAGATACAAGGACTCCCTGAAACAACATCTCAGCCTTGGCCATATTGATCAACATAACAGGTCTACTCTGGTCTCAAATCGGGAGGCCTGGAGACACACCATCTATAACGCTGCTGCTTCCTTTGAGAACGCACTCAGGATCACTCTAGAGGAGAAAAGACAATGCAGAAAGAACTGTGCCTTGCAGAATATACCTCCTAAGGAGTCTTTCTGTTGTGCCTTTTGCAATCGGACATGTCTATCTCACATTGTCCTTATTAGCCACCAGTGTGCTTGTAACAAATGTGGACAGAGTCTTCCCAAATCTTCGTTCGCGAAGCCTAGCCATGATGAATGAATTACCAGAACATTAAAAGTTGAGACTTGCTCCTTCTGGCTCATACTTTTGCACTGAGAGACAAAGCAGAAGATATTCTTCTGCTTATAAAGGAGTAATTCTAAAGATAAAAGACTAACTCTGCTAAATATATAGACATGAAAACACATTCACTTGCCCTAGGAAAAGTAAAAGTCTGCCAAAGTGCATCATAGATTGCTAGCAGATATACAATATATAGAAAAGACCTTTTTTCATAACTTCTGTAACATTCACTAACATTTCTACATTACTAACCCTTCTAACACTTCAAAGAAGTCTAATTTGTAGTAACATATTTACAGTCTTTTGTGTGAATGTTCCATTACTGTTGTTGTATGAAACATACAACTGATATATATTAAGGATGTCAGAAAAAAATTAGACTTCTAGTAGCTCGATTAACACTGAACAGTTGATAAAGAGTTTTAAACAGGACTTAAGAGCACCCAATGAATTCAGTGATGAAACAGTTAAGACTGACATAATTTACAATACAGAGGAAACAGTGAAGGGTTCAAATTTGTACAAGAGCTTAATAGAAAGAATTTTTATGTGAACAAGAACTAAAATACTTACCTACACTAAGAAGTGACTCAATAAATTCTTCTGCAACCATAGGGAGAGGTAGGCGAAATATATTGTAAAGAACTTCAAGCAGACCTTGCTACAAAAGAAAAAAAAAAAAGGCAGAATTTTTATAGATTTACAAAAACTGCTCTTTTTCATTATTAATATTGAGGTTAAGATTTCGAGTGCTAGAATTTCTGTCTTTGTTTCAGGGTTTTTTTTAAGATAACATGCTTATTTTCATAATCTAAGTGAATCTGGAGAGAGATGAAAGGAAGGGGCTTGCTTACTTTACAAGTGCCTAACTCATCCCAAATTCTACAGAAGCTCAGGTTACTTGGATTACAGTTTTTTAGAACAGTACCTCCACCATCAAGTTCTTCATTTAGCAGGTAATTGGGAAGAAGCATTTTTATTTATCAGTGCTTCAAACTCATAACTGCAACTACCATGAATTTGCTTTGACTTGTGGCCAGATTAAAAATGAATTTATGTGCTTCTCTCTCCTCCATTCCCTCCTCTCAGACATACAGGGTGTGATTCTATTCTCATCTTACAAGTAAGGAGCTGAGGCAGAAAAAGTAAGCAACTTGCTTAAGATCATACAGGAATTTTATAAGTGAATTATAGACTTAAACTTGGGTGTCAAATAAAGTTGAGGCTCACGGTCTCATACTGGAGCCACTAAAATGATAAAATTGTTAAAATTTTAATTTTTAATTAAAACATCCAATATTATTCCTATATCAGTACTAAATATTTACCACCTACCCGTATTTCCATATTTGGTATACAGAGCACCCCAATAAGAGACTGAATCCCAGAATTTCCAGGTTTGCACAGACTGATAATACCTAGAAAACATTAAATACATAATATTCCATTACCAATCAAGGAAAAAAAAAGCATTAAACACATTGTTAAATTTGAATTCATTTGAGTATTATTTTGATAAAAATTAGTAATCACTTTTCACCTTTATAATGTCATGTCTTACTAATCAATGTTTAACAAAGCTTTCTAATCACAAAACTTTATTTCTTTATTAAAAACTATAGCTACTTTTACTCTTTCTACTGTGAAGAGTATTCTCGAATTATCTGCAAAACCAACATTTACATGGAAGAAATGGTAGAAAGAAAAGAAAAAATTGTTAATAAAGAATAATTCCTAAACCTGAAAGATGTGCATCATCATGGCAGAACTCTGAGCAGTTTCTCCATCAAAAGCTGTATCTTAAACTAACAAATTATTTAGTTACCTTTAATCTTAGGTGAATTCTAAACAGCAACTTTAAATATACTTGGAATAACATTCTCTGTGCACCATTTTTAATCATCTTTGCCCAAATGACATGTGCTTATCTCCAGAATTTTCACAGAATCATAGATTAGTTTAGGTTGGAAGGGATCTTTAAAGGGCATCTAGTCCAACCCCTGTGCAATGAGCAGGGACAACAGTTATATCAGGTTACTCAAAGCCCTGTCCAGCTTGACCTTGAATGTTTCCAGGGATGGGGCATCTACTACCTCTCTGGGCAACCTACTCCAGTGTTTCACCACCGTCATGGTAAAAAATTTCTTCCTTCATCTTTTCAACACAGTTGATTTTACTTTGCATAAAATCTCTTATAATTTGGTCCTTTTACATGATGTTTTTGCTCAATTAGTTTAATATTTCAATATTAATAGGACAAATCCTCAAATTGTTCATAAATGTTAAAGAATGCTCCCTGAAGCTAATGATTACATTAAATTTCATCCTCAAATTACAAGGTTGCAAAAACCTTGCTCATTTGTCTTCATAGTTTACAGAATAAATTAAAACTTACAGTAACCTGCTATCCAGAAAACAAACACGTTTGTCCAAAATGCAACTTTAAATGAACAAAAAGAAGTCAGGTTTGCACACCTTTTCATCTTACAATAAACCCAAACCTTCATTCACTAAAAATTACTAAAAGATGAAAAATATCACCTATTCATCTATTTATTTTCACTAATAGAAATTTAACTTTAATGACAAATGTTTTATATGAACTTGAAGAAAGTCTTCAAGTTCAAAACTTCCATGTCACAAAAACTTATGACAAGCACATGTGGCAACATACACATTAATGGCATTTAAACATGCTCCTCTAAACACCTTAACAAGAGCATATAATGGCCTGTGGTGGGTTGACACTGGCTGGCTGCCAGGTGCCCACCAAGCTGCTCTATCACTCCCCTCCTCAGCTGGACAGGGGGAAGAAAATACAGTGAAAGGTTCGTGGGGCAAGATAAGCTATCCCAAAAGCCCACCGATGTCCTTTTGGGTCTTTGAAATACCCATTCTTAAGGTAATCGATACCCAGGATACATGAGGTGTCTGGACCAGTCATAATGGGGTGTTATTGCCATTCCTTCCCTGTCAAGCTCACTTCAGCTTCCAACACCATCAGCTCTTGAGAACTGCCTGTCACTCCAGCAATAGAAATAGACTCCGCCCCCACATGGCCTGATGGCATTAGAGTACATTGTGCAGCAGTGTTGACCAAAGCCTTGTATTACTGTCAGTCTGATGTGCCAGGTCATCGGATCCACACACTCCAATAGACACAGTTATCCCATGTTGTTACACTCCGTATTTTAAGCCACAAGCTGCCCGGAGCGGTTAGTTATATTTAAGACTTTAAAGTTTGCTCACCAAATTTTTGAAAAGCCTTTGGTTCGTTATTACCTTGAATTTATGTCTGGAGAAAATGTTACTACGTTTTCTCTAAGATAATTTCTTTTAATTTAGTGAGAAAATAAGACATTTTGACAAAAGATTTTACAGGGATAACATATAAACCAAAGAAAAGCATTTCACTAAAAAGCCCAGCACAAAGATCCAGTTCACAAAAGCACCTACCACAACACAATCAATACACTAGCTTTAGTAAAACACAATTAATTGGTTTTAAGTCACCCACAAGAGAAAGAAAAGAGTAAAGGAAGAAAAGAGAGATTAGGAAAAGAAAGAAGTAAAGAAAGAGAGAAAGGGAGGAAAGAGAAATAGTTACTGCCAAGAGGTCACTTGTTGGTTGGTCCCAGGAGAAAGGCAGACTCCCCAAAATGGAGACCCTGTGTACCTTTTTATAGACTTTGGCTACTGTGGTCATGCCTTTCAGGCAGGACATCTGGGTCATTGACCACTCAGTGTCCTCCTAGCCAAAGTGAGGGGTGCCACAGACAATCAGAGGCTCCAGGGGGCATGGTGTGGGCAGGCTACTAGGCAGATCTTCCTTGATTGACAGCCCAACCACATGGTTCTCAGTGCTGCCATGTGCTCTTCATGGATGCAGTTACATTGGCTGCAGGCCCTCTGATTCTGCCATGAAGCTGCAGATCATGTGTCTTCCAGCTCTGCCAAGTGCTCTGTGGGTAGGCCTTATCATGTACCTGCAGGTCTAGCCTAGCCTAGCCCTTCCCCCCCACACACACTCCCAGTGAGTTGGCTCTGACCCATATGAATATATAATTCAGTGAGATTCTGTACTGGTTTAAAAGTTAACCAGCAGGGGAAACCAACCCAACTCAAAAGAGAGATTACAAGTCAGAATAACAATTTAATCAAATAATACAATAAGTACAACCACACAGACAAGCAACCGGCCCTAACCCACAAAGCCCAAATGTACAACCCAGCACCCCGGGGCACAAACAAAGCAGTGCTCCCTAGGCCTTCCCCCTTGAGTCCAAAGCAAAGGGAGAGGGGAAAAAAACCTGCTGGTGGGAGAGCTGCTGCAGTCCGGCCAAAAGTGGTGATTGCAGTCCAGTCGAGGGTGGTGGTGAGCTGCAGTCCTCCTCTGGATCCCATGAGTGGTGGTAAGGTTCTGAAACTCCAGGTTTATATATTCTCCAGCTCAGGTAGGAATGCTTAGTCCCTCCCTCAGAGCGGGGAATTCCATAAAAGGATGCTCAGTCCTTCCCTCAGAGTAGGGAATTCCCCTTTTGGGTGTGAGGGTGCTCAGTCAGGGAATTCCACAAAAGGGCATGAGGAGAGGAACATCCCCCCACCTCGCAGGTCTCTACTGACAACAGTTCCTGGGAAATGGCATGGAGGGTTATAGAATACACAGTTTTGGGTTACACCCATCCAGTGATGAATCGGTCCCAGTTGTTCTAACTAGGACAGATTCGAATCCAGTATGTCACACATGCCTATACCTGGCTAGAGGCAGGGCCCCTCTAGTGCTGGTTTTAGTGGTTGTGACTTTCTCCCTGTGCATACATCCAGGAGGTCCCTTCCAGAGGACTGGACATGTCATCATCCCTCCTACTTTGTCTAGGAGCTTGCCTGCAGGAAACTGAAGCTACATCCATCCTCGATGAGTTGCCTCTAGTTGCCATTTATTCCTTTAACTCCTGTACCCATGTTGCTAGAGCAGAGGTGGGTTTCCCATCCCATCTCCTCATGTCTTTTCCATGTTCATGCAAAAAGAACTGCAGGTTGCTCTGGGTGGTTGTACAAGTTTGGAGCTGGCTTCCCGTCAAGTCTCTGAAACTCGACAACAGAGCCTGTTTCCCAAAGAGGGAAGAAAAAAAAAGAAAAACCAAAAAACCAAAACTATAGCAAAAATATATATTTTACATATAAAACAGATATATACAGGGAGAATACTACATACCTATAACCCCAGAAACCCCAAATAGCTTCCTAAAAGGGAAGAGGGGAAGGGAAAAGGGAAAAAAGGATGAAAAGGGACAGAAGTAAAACAGGTATGCACAATCTAAAAATCCGGTAAACCAGCAAAATAAAGAACTGGCAAAATCTCACCACTTCCCTTGAGAGAAGCAGGATGGTTGAATGCAGCCCAGCACTTTCCCCTCATGCGTGGCAGACAACAGCAGTCGATACAGGCCTCAACTTCAGATAAGCAAGACCACGTACGGATCTACTGTTCTCGAACCTCGCCGGAAGAGAAGAAAGTGAGTTCTCTTATCTATGCCTACATAAAGGAATAGCATGGAATACTTCCTGGGTCACCTTCCTAGTTCCTTCCTGGTTACAAGCTGGTCTCCAGGAAGGCCTAGGGTGAAAACTATCACAGTGGTGTACCCCTTCTCCCTAGCCAGGGGATGCCTGTTCTGAATAACAGGGGTTCTAGTTTGCATTGAGGAGACATGGACAATGCTCTCCTTGAACTCCTCTCTGAGTTTCTTGTGGTAATTTTTAACTTCCTCTGTTAAGAGTCCAGAGGTCTGCAACCAGTTGCTCCACAGAAGAGATGTGGACCCATAATGGGGTGTGAACAATCTCATCATAGGTCTGGAGTTTATTCATCATAGCTCCCACTGTCTCTTGGTCCTCCTTCCATTTCATTGTCATGAAGAAATTAAGAGTATACTGATGGCCCTTGGCATGCTACTTTTAGCCACATTCATGAGGTGCATTTGACCCGGTCTAGATCATTATTGGATTGCTGATCCCCTGCAAAAAGTACCTCTAGCAACGCAATTTCTCTCAGGTGTAAGATTCCTTCCTCCATGGTCTCCCAGGAGCAATGACGCCCCTAGAGGTCCTCCCTGTAAGCAAATCTCTCTCACACTTGTTAGAAGCTGAAGGGGTTCTGATTTCCTCACAAACCCCTGATCAATACCCACATCCTAGGTCAGAGATCCCAAAAACCTTGCTTTGGTACCGCCAAGCTGCACGCTTTCACCCATAAGATCCCAGACTTGGATCAAACAGGTCAAAATGGGCTCACTCGGTTGTCAAGCGACGTCTTTCCACAAATTGTGGACAGTATTAAATGAAAGAGATTCAGTGATTATTTCTGGTTCTGGATCTACTGTTTGTGAGGGTCTTGCCTCCCCATCATCATCTACCA